GCAAAACAGAATAGGGGAACATCAGTTAAAAACCAGATGGTGAGAGTAATACAGGGCTTTAAATCAAAGTAATGAAAAGTCAAAGTGGGTTACTATAATATATCCTGCTATTTTTTTCCTTTAACTAAAAGGATAAAGATAAAAAAGTAAATAATGGAGTGGAGATTGAGATAAAAGAGGGCATAACAACGAAACAGCGCAGATCAAAACATAACCATTTAAGCAGAATAGTGTTTCACCACCAGATAATTCTAACCTAAAAGTAGTTACTATATTGTCTTTTTTTGAAATCCTTGAGTACAACTTCGTATACTGTAGCATTAAGTATATCAAAACGATGTGAAACCATTCAAGAGAATGACAGCATTACAGAGTATTTAGAATTGACTAACAGAAAATGAATAATGGTTTCTGTATAATCTCCTTGTCTTTACAAGGTTTTTGCTTATACTATCGTACATAATAAAATCCAGTAAGATACAACCTATTTAGACCATTGGAGACAGAAGGACAAAAGCTAGATGAGACTTCAAAACAAGATGATACTAAATCAGTATTACCTATTAAGATGTCATTTTCTCCAAAATAGCTATTCCTATCATCCAATCTTCTCTGCCTCATTTCTGTTGAGCTCTTTTTCTGTCAGTAGCTGTCAGTTTGTCTTCTTTATTTTGTTCTCTGCTCCATTCGTTGTGGCCTCTCTGCCATTATTTCTGGATTCTTTGTATTTTTCTTTTTTTAGAATATCCTGCAATACTCTCTGTAGAGTTGAATTGGTGGTTGCAAATTCCCCCAGTTCCTCTTTATCCTGGAAGCACCTTGTTTTTCCATCAATTTCCAGGGACAGTTGTGCAGGATATCTCAATCTTGGCTGGAGATTATTATCTTTCAAAGCTTGAATTATTTCCCCCCATGCTCTTCGTGATTTGATGGTTTGTGCCGAGAAATCTGCTGTAATTCTGATGGGTGTTCCCTTGTAAGTGGTCTGTTTCTTGTCTCTGACAGCTTTTAATATTCTGTTCTTGTATTGAATTTCTGGAATTTTTATTATTATATGCCTGGGTGTTGGTCTGTTTGGGTTGTAGGTAGCTGGGGTCCTGTATGCCTCATACATCTGAGTATCTTTACCTTTTGCTAAATTAGGAAAATTCTCCTGGATTATTTCTGTGAGTAGCTTTTGTAGTTCACTTGTTTGTGTCCCTACTTCTTCTTTTATGTTCTTAATCCTTAAGTTATGGATCCTCTTATCATCTTCTTGTCTTTGTATTATTGCTGTTTGTTTCTTTGTTATTTTTAAGAAGTTTTTCATTTCATTCTCCCATATTACAAGTCTGCCCTCCAGTTCAGATAGTCTGTCCTTAGTTTCTTTCAAGCTGTTATGCCAGTCTTCTATAGACTTCTTGGTATCTTGGTAGTCCCTTTGAACCTGCTTCACGTATTCTATGGTTTCTCTGTTTTCTCCATCAAACAATTCTCCCCTTTTTTTCTGTTCTTCCATTCCACCGCCTGTTTTTTCTTGGGTGGTACTTAGCATTTCTCTAACTATTCTGCATACTTCTAGCTTCAGGTCGTTGATAACTTCATTCCTGAATTGGTCTATGAGGCTCTCTATATGGTGCCTTATGTATATTGGTGCGGTGTCTGCTATTGCCTGTTTCTCAGAATTGGGGGCCGAGGAGCCTTTCTTGTTGCTGCCTCTTCCCATGCTGCCTCTTCTTCTCTGTTCCTTATATATGCAAGCTTATATAAGAGGCCCAGCTTGTCTCCCAGTCAGCCACAGCCTGATCGAATTGCGCCAGTTAGGTGTTCCCGCTCACCGCTGCGCACCAGGGAGTTGCGGACCAGGCAGCCTACGCGGGAGTCGCCCCTCTGGGCCACCGTCAGGCTCTGGGATCTGGGTTGGGACAGCCTACCAGGTCCGCCGGCAGCGTCACGCAGGCCAGGCACTTTTCACCAATCCCGCCCAAGAGGGGGATGTGTGGCTGGAGTCGCCACCGCGCCCTGCTCCCGCAGGACTGCTCGGGCCCAGAAAGTCCTCCGCTGGAGTCAAACTGTGGTAGAGTGTCAGTTTCTCTCACTCACCTCACCACAAGTCAGTGCACGCCTCCCTGCCGTTCGCAGATTGCTGTTCTCAGAGCTTCTGCGTGTCTCTCTCCTTGCTGAGCCACTGTAAAGGCAGCCAGCCGCCGCGCGGCGGGAAACCCAAATAGCGGCTTACAGTGGCGCGGGGTCCAGCTCCACACCGAGGCTTTTCTGTTCCTGTTTTAGCACCAGGACTGCATTCCAAGTTGGTTTCTCTCAGCCCAGTTCGTTCCTGAGTCAGCAGAGCATATCTCCACCTGTTTATGTCTCCTTAGTCCGCACCATTCCTGGCTTCTGAGCCGAGTCTTTCAGAGAGCCTCCGGTAGTTGCTGTTATCTGTCCGCCATGTTCTCCCGGAAGTCAACCCATTCTTATAAAATATGGTGTTTGATGTCTATTTGTTCTGTCAAGCCTTCCTTGTTGGTTAGAACTAGATCACTGACACACTGAGTTCAGTCATTTCCTCTGCCTGCCAGGGAAGGATTTTAATAGAAGCCCTTCCTCTTTTGTTGACTTCATAACTTCCAGGGAACACCAGCTTCCAGCACACAGAAATTTCCAGAGACTAGGGCAGCAGTCCTTACCCCTGCCTTCAGCGAGGCACCTCTCTATACTTCCGTAATAACATCCACATTAGATGTCTGGTTTCCTCACCACTTACACAGAACACAAAGCCTTGAAAAAAAAAAAGTATCACTTATGAACAGAAGAAAATGAAATGTCGCTGCAAATTGGAGAAGGTTTTGTCAGCTACTTGTTACCCCTGCAACTTTCCAAATGGAAATGAGAAGGCTGAGGTAGGAAATGAGTGAAATGAGTAAGATAAGTCAAGCTGGGAAGTGCTGACTGTTAGAGAAACCAGAGACTTTGCTTGTAAGCTTTGGCCATGCACTAAAAGTCCCAAACCCAACCTCTGCTCTGAGGGTCTTTCCAGCTCAGATTTATGTTTTCTGCCTACTACAAAATAATCTAGCACTGGCTTATTAGAAATATGTCAAACCAGGCATGGTGGTGTACACTCAATCCCGGCACATGGGAGGCCGATGCAGGAGGATCACCTAGAATTCAAATCCAGAGTGGGCGACATAGTTCAAGACCACCCTGAACTACATAAGAAGGTTCTCTTAGAGGGAGGGATGAGGAGGAGTATGTATCAACTAAGTGTTTGGGTGTGTAGCTTAGTGATAAACCCCTTGCCTAGCATGCGTAAGTCCCTGGGGTACCATCCTGAGCAGCACAAAGACACACACACACACACACACACACACACACACACACACACACACGCAGAGGAGGAAAGAATGATCCAGGCATGGTGGTGCTTTCTTGTAATTTCAGAACTCTAGTAGGAGCATTGCAAGTTCAAGTCCAGCCTAATAAACATAGCAAGACCTTGTATCAAAATAGTCTGAGGAAGTAGCTTATTTAAAGGCCCTAGGTGCAATCACCATTACCAGAGGAAAAAAGGGAAAAAATGAGGAAGAGTGAAATCAAAATCAGCTTAAAATTGGTAAGTGGATGCTAGAGAAAATAATTTTCATACTAATTTGTAGCTATGCCTTGTTCCAGAAGAAACAGTTTCAACTTGTGAATTTACAATGACCTTTTTTTAAATTTTCAGCTTATATGTTTAAAATTTGTTTAGAGCTAGGTATGGTACCACACCTGTGTAATCAAGCACTCAGGAGGCTGACTGTTAGTTCAAGGCAGCCTGAGCCACATAGTTCAAGGCCGGCCTGAACTAAATAGTATGACCTTGTCTCCAAAAAAAAAAAAAATCTTCTGACTAGAAGGTGGCTCACAAGGGAGACAGCTGGAATGACTGCAAATCCTAAAATAGGTACTGAAGGGTGGGTGTGTAGCTGAGAAGTAGACTCTTCCCTAACATATATGAAGTCCTGGTTTGGATCCTTAGCACTGCAAATAAACAGGGACTGAAGCAAGTTTCGTACATGTCAGGGAGCCCATTAGTGTTGCTGTTGTGATGAGTTCACATCTGCATCCAGAGCCATCAGCTCTCCAGGAATATGGGTGAGGTTATTCGTGTATCAGTTTAGTTGGATACCTTTCTCTGCCCCTGACTACTACATTAACTTGATTGACATGTGGGCTGTCAATACTGCATAAATTGAGTCCCCACTAAATTACTACTACAGTCCTTGTGACCCCAGTACCTCAAAAGTCACAGCACAAAAAAAAATTTAAAAAAAAAGTCACAGGAAACAGCTGCTAAGTAGGTACCGGAGACTCAACTGAGCAAAAAGCAAGTCCCTGCCTAAGGAAACTTAAGTACTGTAGGTAGAACCAAAGCAAAAGGAGGGTGGAGAGGGGAGAGCTGTTGAAAGGAGTTCTACTCCAGAGAATGGAGACAGCTTCTCTGAAGAGATCCCTTTTGGCAGAGACCTGAATTAAATGAGAAACTTAGCCATTCAGGCAGAGAAAGTAACATTTGTTACAGTTTTTGAAGCTGAAACTGTGGACAGACTGTATCCTGACACTAATAGGACTCAGAAAAGATCATGAGATAAAATTTGAAGTTTTGACCAGGGCAACAGGCTCAGGTAGCCCACTGGGAACTCCTATAAAGGAAGGGCACAAGGGCTAGAGTCCAGGGGGCAGTGCCAGGTCCAAGCCTGTAAGGGTTATCAGGACTGGGGAGACTAAAGAGGGCCTGCTGTCCTGGACTCTGCTACCCACAGGCACACCCCCTCCATCCACTGTGAGCCTCTGAGCCAACCTCTTTGGCAAAGGGACTTAGTATGAAGAAAGCAAGTAGCGGTAAGGTAGGGAGGGCAAGACAAAGGAATGTTGTCAGAAAGTGTCAGTCCCCATATGTGCTTCCTGAATGTTTATGAAGAACTTGCTGGAAGGCAGAGGAAGCTACTGAAAGGCATAATGCAACTACTTGTTCTTCCCAGGAATTGGTCCGGCAGCGAGGAGTCTTAGAACGCACAGAGAAGATGGTAGACAAGATGGATCAAGACTTGAAGACCAGCCAGAGGCACATCAACAGCATTAAGAGTGTGTTTGGTGGGCTCGTCAATTACTTCAAATCCAAACCAGTAGAGACCCCAACTGAACAGAATGGCACGCTCACCCCGCAGACCAATAGCAGGTCAGTTCAGCTTCCTCCATCTGGATATAAGTAGGTTTAGTGTGAATAGCCAAAACTTTCAGGTCTATACTTTACCTGCTGTGGTGCTCAAATTGAAGATTTAGTTTTTCCCTCTCTCTAATGTTTTCATCATTCTAATCATAGTGTTCTTTAGTTTTATAGCCTGTTTCTTCCCTTTAACACAGAGAAATAATTTGTATAATGTAATTACATAGGTTATATAACTATATGGTTTGGTGGGGGGTTTTTTTGCTTGTTTGTTTGTTGTTTGGTGTTTTTGAGACAGTGTTTCACTGTGCAGTTCAGCTGGCCTTGAACTTAGTTTGTAGCCTGGGTTGCCCTTAAACTCACAGCAGTTCTCCTACCTCAGCCTCCCAAGCACTAGGATTACAAGCATGCACCACCACACCCAGTGGTTGTAAAACTTATCTCTTTTTGGGATAGGGATTTAGCTCGGTGGCATAAGCACCTGCAAGTACTCAGTCCTGAGTTCAATACCCGGTATGGATAAAAAAAACTTATCTCTTAATTCTGTAATGCAAAGGGGAGGAGACTTTCTTTTTTAGTGAGGCTGAAATTAAACCCAAGGCCTTCTACATGTTAGGTGAGCTGTCTACCACTGAATGCTCTATATCCCTTGCCCACAAAAGCTATTTTTTTAAAATATTTACAGATGTAGTAAAATTCATGCCTCTTGAATGGAAAGACAATGACTGTATGCCTATGTGTATACCACCCAGGTGAAGATGTAGGATGCTGATGGGAAGAAACTAGGAAAATATTACAAGCCTACAGGCATGGATGAAGGATCCTGTCGGGATTGCAAAACGGACAGGAGTCTTTGGAAGGCCTAGAGAGGAAATTACAAGGATGAGAAACCTCGGATGCATTAGCCAGATTTACAAGGGTTTATTTGTGCATTGGTTGAGTCATAATCACCTTCATTCCAGATTTTCCAGCTCAATTCCAATTTTAAATATTGTCCCTCTTGGGGCTGGGGATTTAGCTCAGCGGCATAAGTGCCTGCCTTGCAAGCAGGCAGTCGTGAGTTCGATCCCTGGTACCGAGAAAAAGGAAAAAGACCAAAAAAAAAAAAAATAAAATATTGTCCCTCTTTTACCCTAATTGAAGTTTGGCTTTTTTGAATTACATTTACCTGTAGGTTGCATGCCCCTCATCCAAAATGCTTGGGACCAGAAGTGTTTAGATTTCACGGTTGTATTAAGTTATGAAATATACATTAGTACTTGAACTTCTCTACACAGAAAATTAAAAATCTGTGAAATCTGCAACTTTCTGAATGCCAGCATTTTGCTCCTAAAGTTTCATGTTTTGGGCTAGAGGTATAGCCAAACAGCAGAGTACTTGCCTAGCGTGCATGAAGGCCTATGTTCAATTCCTAGCACCACAAAACAAACTTCCAGACTTTGAAACATTTCAGATTTTCAGCTTAGGGATTCCTCAGCCTGTAGCATAGGAGAAGATAGAATGTTCACTCATTTTGATCTAAACGGCCTTCTTACATAAAGTTAGGAGCACAGCAAGCCCTTGGAGGCATGGGAATCTGACAGACTTGTGACTAGTATGCGCCACATTCTCTGTGCCTCTTCTTGAGGCTCTTAGAGGACTTTACAGTTCCGAACACTGCTAGATAAGCATGAGTCCGATAGTATTCTTTGTTTTTAATTTTCATTTTTACAAGAACATGTTTGTAGTACATAATGATTACATTCATTATGGGGATTGGAATATGTACATAACACATCCTAATTCCTTTTATGTCTCCTTCAGTTTTCTTCTTTTGGAACATCTGGAAAACTCAAGGCTTTCTGACAAGGTCCTCTCACCAGTGAGGCAGCCATAGTATTTCACTGACCTGGGCCTAAAGGTACCCAAGGTCACTAATCTTCCCTAGCCTTCTGCTCATAGATCAACCCCAGTGAGTTGTAGTGTTCTTGTCATCACTTAGTACAAAAAAGCAAACTAATTATTTATTCATTCACTCATTTGCAGTGCCAGGGATTAGACTCAGGGGCACACTACCACTGAGCAATGCCCCTAGTTTTTTTTTATTTTGAGACAGGGCCTCACTAACTTAACCAGGCTGGACTTGAAATCTTCCTCCCTCCACCTCCTGAGTAAGTGGGATTACAGGTGTATGCCACCCCACCTGGCACAGAACTTTTAAGTGAAATAACTCAAGTTAGCCATTACCCAAATGTGTATCATGTAAGTCTGTGCAGCTTTGTAGGTGAGGCCACTTCAACAGCATTGCAAGGTTCCTTCCTACGTGTATCTTGAATACCCTTGTCTGCACACCTGCTATGTGGCTGGTAGTCAACACAGTGAGAGCACAGTTCTTTTGCTGGTATTGGGAGGCCAATGGTCAATACAGATGCCATAGAGTCCCCGAGAAAAGGAAGGATTGACCTTAGAGGAGAGGGAGATGGCACAAAAAAAGTGACCTTTTACCTGAAATCATGATGACAGATTAGTCTACCAGTGGAAGTGGGGCTTAGCAGCAAATGTGTGACTATCAGGAAAATCCAGGACTGTGAAGGGCAAAGGCTATATTTCAAAAGCACAGCAGCATTTCTAGGAGTAGCGCTGTGCAAAGAGGAAGGCAGAAATAAAGAACCGGGTGTGATAGTGTTCCAAAACTCCCACGGAGAGTATCAATTTAACCATCCAGCAGTTCGGCATATGGATGCAAAATAAAGACAGGAAGCTGTGCAGCTGAGGAGCTTTGGGATGACCCAGTGTTCTCTGTGGAACGAAAAGCATCATGTCCAAATGCTCATGGCTTTTAGTGGTGTCAAATCAGAGAGGTGGGTGGGGTCAAGGCAGAGTGATAGGAAAAAGAAACTTTGCAAGCATCATCTGTAATGAGAAACAGGATTATTGTACCAGGCACAAAGGCCTTTGGTTAACAATATAAGGATAGCTTGGTATATGCAAGGTTGACACCTTTATTGCAAGGCAGGCATAATTCTTTCTCAATCCCATGACCTCAGATGAGATGTTATCTCATATTTTAGCCCTGGAACCTCACAGATTATTGCTTGGGCCCCCATTCCAGTCATCAGCTTGAGGGCTATTCTCACTTTTGTGTTGCTGCTTTAGTGAGACTACCTGTGCCTCAGTCAGACTATCACATTCTTTTAGCCAATTAAGGGAACATCTGGTTCAATATAACCAGCTCTGCATATCTCAGTGAATAGAGTTGAACGAGAGGTTAGGGAAAGATCAAGTCTAGGGGTTTTGTTTCACCAAAGAGTGCATCTTGATGGTCTCCCATAATGGTGCACACCTGTCCATCCTAGCTACCCAGGAGGCTGAGGCAGGAGGATTACTTGAGAGCAGGAGTTCAAGTTTAGCCTGGGAAACAGAGATAGATCTCACCTCAAAAAGAAAAAGACATTAACTGTGGGCATGCTGTTACTGAGTAGAGATGGAGAACAGGCTATGGCTCCCCCCTACTCTTAGATAGAGGCACCTGTCATGCTCCTGTGGGTTCAGCGGAGTATCCAGTACACTCTGGTCAGTGCTTAAGTCCCAAGAGAAGTCCCTGTCTATAGTCAGAGTCACCAATTAAGGCTTGTGGGTTAGAAATTAAAACCAAAGATCTTTTCAGAGTATTTACCATGTATAATGAGAAGGGAAAGACAAAAAAAAATTTAGTGACAAACTCCAAAACATAAATACAGGCAAGCGTAGTGGTATGCACCTATAATGCTACCACTCAGAAAGCTGAAGAAGAATGATTGCCTCAAGTTGAAGGCCAGTCTGGGCTATAATGAATTTAATGTCAGCTTGAACTACACAATGAAACCCTGTCTTAAAAAAAATAGTAATAGTGGAATACAAGTTTTTGGTAATAGAGCTTTATTAATGAGAAAAATGAGCCTCTTTTCTTTTTGTTTCTTTTCTTTCTCCAGCACTGGGTATTGAATCCAGGGCCCTCATACTGTTATATCCCCAATGCTTTTTGTTTTCTGAGAACAGGGTCTTGCTAAATTGCCCAGCCTGGGCTCAAAGTTACAGCTCTCCTGCCTTAACCTTCCTCAGTGCTGGGATTACAGGCATGTGCCTTCACACCCAGTGAAAATTAAATTCTTGAGGTTCAAAACTAATGTTCCCTATTATCCAGTACAACAAAAATGGTGATCATCTCTGTAAAGGCCATTTGTTGCTTGTGGTTGCCCAAAAGCAAGTGATGGAATTTTATTTGTATATATTACCACAATTTTTTAAATTGGATTAAAAAAAGATCGTGGGCCAGCTTTGGCTCACAGGTCATAATTTGCTGAACTCTGGTCTAAAGTACCCATTTGGTGGTTTCATCTACTTTTTTGTTCACTTGTCCCAGGACTCCTCATTTGCCTATGCAAGGAGCACCCACTTCTAAGACAATAATCTTCTGAAGCTTGCCATGAAGCTGACTATGCACCCAAGAGGGGTTATCAAACCCTTGCTTTGGTCGGGAGTTTGGCACAGAGAAGGCATTTGATTTTCAGTTCACAGGCTTCATTTGAAAAGACTGATGACACTGTTGTAGGCATTTTTCCTTTTTAAATATTTTTTCCTTTTATCCAAAGATTGAAAGAAGCCATAAGTATAAGTAAAGAACAGGAGGAAAAGTACCAGGCCAGCCACCCAAACCTCCGGAAGCTGGATGATGTAGGTGAGTGGGGACCCTTGTGCACACATCTACATTTGGATCCTGAGGGGCCTCTGTATTAGACCTTGAGGGCTGTGGGAGCAGCTGCCTCTAGTGTGCAACAACTCCAGCTGCTAGCATCCCATGTGCTGGTTGAAAAGCCATGTGTGCTTTCACAAAACAGGGTATATGTTATATGAGGTTCCTTGTTCCCTCCCTCCACTATGGACAGTAGATTAAGGAAGTGGTGGCCTGTGTCCCCTTAAAAATGAGCCTGCCAGCCATTGGTTCCTATATAGATAGCTCTGAACTATTTCCTAGTGAAAAGCCTCCAACAAGAATAACTTCTCAGGGACCTAGGTGATAGGGCACATCTGTAATCCCAGTACTTGTTAGGATCACCAGGAGCTTGAGGCAAACCTGGACTATATAGAGAGACCCTGTCTCAAAAAAAAGAGAGAGAGAAAGAAAAAAAAAATTATCTCTCTGATTTTTGATGTATTGTATCCAAAAAAACATGACCATCATACAATAGAGAACATACAAAAATAAAAGAGCTGGGCATGGTGGCACATGCCTGTAATCTCAATATTCTGGTGGCCAAGACAGGGGAAGCACTGCAAGTAGGAGGCCAGACTGGACTGTATAGTAATTTCAATGCCTGCCTGAACTACATAGCAAGACCCTGCCTCAAAAATAAATAAATAAATAATAGAAGGGTCCAAGAGATGACAAGAGGAGAAGGGATGAGACAGGAAGAGGGTAAAAAAAGAATTAAGATATGTTGTGTACATGCATCAACTCCCCACAATGAAAGCAATCATTGTGCACTAATAAAAATAAATAAATAAAAGAATAGCCAGGTGTGGTGGCACATGCCTATAATCCCAGCACTCGGGGAGCTGAGACAAGAGGATCACTGCCAAGTTCAAGGCCAGCCTGGGCTATACAAGTGAGTTCGAGGCCAACCTGCACTTCATAGTAAGACTGTCTCAATAAAACAAAACAAAATAAAATAAGAATAACTCCTCTAGTAAGTATATTAGCCTTTAGAGTTGTCTACATCCTACACCCCAGACCCCATGAGTATGTCAGGTTGTAGACAAGGAAATTTACAGTTATAAGTAGAATTATAGTTGTTAATCAGCCAAACTTGAAATGGAAAAATTATTCTTTTAGGCCCAGTGTCCTCACAAAGGTTTGTAAGTGGAACGGGATGTGCAAGAGAGAATATTAGAAAGAGGTTCAAACCTGGTGCACTACTGGCTGTGAAAATCCAGGAAGCAGCCAGGTGCCAATATATGCACATGAAGCTGAAAAAGGCAAGGACTCTGATTCTCCCCAAAAGCCTCCAGAAAGAACACAACCCTGTTAATACCTTGAATTTAACCTGAGGCCCATTTTGAATTCCAACCTCCAGAGCTGAAAGATAAGTTTGTGGCCGTTTTTCATGGCCCCAGAAAGAGACTAATATAACTCCCAAGCTCGAGGAGAAGAAGAAGAAGCAGCATAGACAAGGTATGCAAGATAGGATATGAGCCAAATCATCTAAATAATATCAAATGATAAATTCAGAAACATCTTAAATGGGAAAGGAATTTAGGCCCCTAGAAGCCACCCTAGATTTTAGAAAGCCAGTCATATTGAAATGATGCTAAAACCCAAATACTGACTATGATACCCTAGTGGAAGACAAGACACATCCCAGGAACACCAGAACCTACTGTGGATTCAGGCCTGGTGGCACACATCTGTAATCCTAGTAGCCTGGGAGGCTGAAACAGGAGTATCATAATTTAGAGCCTAGCCTAGGCAATTTAGCAACTCATTGAGACCCTGTCTCAAAAAAAAAAAAAAAAAGAAAGAAAGAAAGAAAAAGATTGAAAATGTAATTCAGTGTGAAGGCCCTGGGTTCACTCCCCCATATTGCCAAAAAGAACCTACCGCATTATTCATAGTTGATAACAGCTGAGGGAGAAACCTGATGAAGAAAGACTCTGAGGTCAGGATAGATTAACATGGGCACAATTCATTCTAGAAAGGTAAACACAGCAGTACAAAGTGAGAGAAAATAAACTGCAAAGGGCCCAAGAAAACACACATCTGTGTTATAACCTGGAGATGTGAAATAAGATCCTGCATCCAAAAGAGTAGTTTTCATTTGGGGATATATGTTAATTTAAGAGACTTTAAGAAAAAAATTGATAGACTGGACATGGTGACACAGGCCTGTATTCTGAGCACTAGAGAAACTGAATGAGTTCAAGGCCAGCCTGGACTACATAACAAGACCCTGTCTCAAAAAAAAAAAAAAAAGAAAGAAAGAAAAAATCAACACTGTATGTGTAGACTAGAAGGTTAGTGCTAGAATAAATGTAGTTATGAAGGTTCCAAAGGTTCCACATCTGGAGATTCAACCAGTCATAAATCCACAATATTCTTACTGGAAAATTTGTGCCATACTAAACATGTAACAGACTTTTTAATTCTTGCCATTATTTCCTAAACAATGCTATTTAGCAGTATTTACATGGCACTTATATTACATATTACTAGTAATCTAGAGATAATTTAAACTACATGGGGGGACATACATGGCTTATATGCATAAGGAGCTTGGGCATCTTCACATTTGTATATCCAAAGAAGATCCCAGAACCAATTTCCCTCAGCTACAGAATATACACTAAATCCAGAAGGAGATGTTTCCTCCAAAAGAGGTAAATTGGGATGACAACTTTTTGTCTGTGTATGGAAACTGAAGTTCAAGGAACATTTTGGGGATCAAATGTGCATTACTTAAAATTTCTACTTTACTTACGTGAAAAGATAGACTACAAATAAATTTCTATACATGCCTTATGCCAGGGTTAAAAAAAAAAAAGAAATAAATTTCTAGAGGGTTGAGGTTATAGCTCAGTGGTAGAGCACTTTCTTAATATGAGAAAGGTCCTGAATTTGATGCTTAGAAAGAGAGTTTCAGAAAAGTAAAAACTCATCCCTATCCTAAACACAGCAACTTTTTGCCAGGCATGGTAGTACATGCCTATAATCCCAGCACTGTGGGAGGCTGAGGCAGAAGGATTGCCACAAGTTTGAGGCCCGCCTGGGCCTGAACTGCACAGCAAGATCCTGTCTAAAAAAGTTTTTTTAATTGAAACAAAGTCTCACTAAATTTTGAATTTGGGATCCTGCTACCTCAGCCTTCCAGAGTGCTGGCATGTGCCACCACACTCAGCTTAACTTTTATTTTGATTTGGTTTGGATTTGGGGTTTCATTTTTCTGTGTTTTGTTTTCTTGACAGGGACTCTCTATGCAGTTCAGGCTGGCCTTGAACTCACTGTGAAGCCCATACCAGTTTGAATTTACACCAATTGTCCTGACTCAGCCTCCCAAGTGCTGGGATATGCCACCATGCCCAGCTAGATTTGGGAATCTGAGATCTCCCAAGGACTAAGACAGAAGCTTAAGGCCTGACCTGCATCCATGGAAATGTCTCCCTCCTAACCACGAATCTGCCCTGGGCTCCTCCCTCATGCATTGTATCCTTTCCCACCCCAATCCCTCTGCATGGTCTCAGACCCAGCTACCTCAATCCTTCCACCCATCTCCCAAATTAAGAAAGAGTCATGAAAGGACTGGGGTAATATGATTGAATGGGGGATGTGGATTGACCATTCTCTTTCCGTTTCTTTCTAAATTCAGATTCCCAAACTAGCTCTTCTGTGAATACTGAAGCTTACCCAAAAAACCCGCACCTTCGAGCCTATCATCAGAAGATTGACAGCAACCTAGGTAAGACCGACAGCTGTGCCAGCCTCTGTAAGTCACTTGTCTTCCATGCACATGGAGCCACTAGTTAGCTGCTCTTGTCGCAGGTCATGCCCCACAGAATCACTCAGAAATCTATCCATTTCTCTGCTTTTATTTTCAGCCAGGTGTGGTGATACACACCTGTAATCCCAGCACTCAGAAAGCTAAAGCAAGAAGATCACTGTGAGTTCAAGGCCACATAGTGAGTTACATAGTGAGCTACATAGTGAGGTCAATCCCAGCCTGAACCAATAGCGAAACTCTGTCTCAAAAAAAAAAAGTCTGTTAGTCCTGCCAAGCCATCCCTACTTCTTACTTGGATTCTGCCAGCAGCAGGGATGAAAGAATCCCTACGAGATCCTTAGCAGTGCATCCTTATCCCACCACTTTCGCTGTCTTTCCCAACTGGCCACATAGTATTCCAGTTTCCTGCTCTGTGAAACCAGCTTCTCTGACAGATAGTGGTGGGAGGATTCCATAAACCAACACCATCAAGCACTTAGAAAAATGCCTGGCTTGGTAAGAGTTACCACTCATGTTAGCACATGGGCAGAGCAATCTTTCAGAAAAGAATTCAGATGGTGTGTTCTTCCAAAACACTCTCAAGGATCCCCCCCACAATTAGAATCCAGATTCCTTGGTCCAGCCCCTCCTACTCCCACCTTGCTTCCCTCTCATCGTGGGCTCCTGTGAGTCTTGTGATGCCAGTTATTTCCTTCTTATATCCCCATCTGCCTGGAGTATCCTGGGGGTTTTCTGGGAGTTTTTTGTCTTTTTTGAGATGGGGTCTTGCTATGCAGTTCAGGCTGGCCTTGAGCTTACTTTGTAGCCCAGGCTGGTCTCGAACTTGCAAGGATCCTCCCTCAGCCTCCAGATTGCTGGGATTACAGGCGTGAGCCACTCCACCTGGCTGGTTTTTCTGTTTTTAAGGTAGGTAGTAAGGATTGGACTCCGGAATTTATACCTGCCAGACATACATTCTAGCACTGAGATTAATCCCCAATCCCCCCCCCTTTTTTTTTTTTTTTTTTTTGTTGTTGTTGTTTTTAATTTTGGGCCAGTGTCTCACTAAGCAGCCCAGGCTAACTCAGCCTCCTAAATAGCTGGGATTGCTGATGTGCACCACCAGCACTGTTTCCATTATGTCACCACTTTATTCACAGGGAGCACTTGATTTTTTATTTTGCTTTGTTTTTGTTTTTGTTTTTGTTTTTGTTTTATTTGAGATAGGGTCCTCTATGTAGCCCAGGCTGGCCTTGAACTCAATGCATGGAGCCTGTCTGGCCTCCAACTCATGATCCTCCTGTATTCCTCCTTCCTTCCCAACTCTTTTTTTCTGTCCTTCTCGGATTAAATGATGGTTGTAGTCTAGTCTTTTTTCTCTTTGCTATGTTTATTGTGTTATATTTTATTTTGTTTTGTTTTGTTTTACAATACTGAGACCTAAATCTAGGGTCTTTGTACTGAGCTGTTTTCTCAACCTGTTTTTTATTTTTTATTTTGAGACAATGTCTCACCAACTCACTCCTGAATCAAGTTCCCAGAGTGCTGGGATTACAGGTGTGTGCTACTATGCCTATCTTTCTTTGGCCACACTTATAATACAGCACTATCAAACTCACAACCTTGTGCTTGCCAGGCAGGAGCTTATGCTACTGAGCTAAATCCTGGGCTCTGGCCACATTTTGTAGCTCTTTTAAGAGAAACAATTATAGTGTCAATAAATGTAATCCCAGGGCTGGGGATTTAGCTCAGCGACATAAGTGCCTGCCTTGCAAGTGTGTGGTCGTGAGTTCAATCCCCGGTACTGATAAAAAAGAAAAAGACAAAAAATAAAATAAATGTAATCCCTTTGAATATAAAGAATAAAAAGAATGTTTACACAAAACCTAGATTATAGAAGGTAGACATAAGTAAGAGCAAATAAAAGAACTGTATTTCCACCACCAGAGCCCACTATTTTTATCTTCCATGGGAATGTTAAAACTTTTGGGTTTGGGGATTTTTTTGTTTTTTTGTTTTTTGTTTTTTGAGATGGGGTCTTACTGTATTGCCCAGGTTACTCTTGTACTCCTGGATTCCAGTCATTGTTCCTCAACCTCCTGAATAAATTGGCCTATAGGCACATGACACCATGCGCACCTGTTAGCACCTTAGGCCTCATGGCAGGCTTTCCCACCAGCACCAAGGAGGGGAGCTCATCTCAGTACTTTGCACATCCACAGGCTTCTGTCCAAGCCTCGCCTACCCTTTGCCTTCATAGCCCAGGAAAACCTAGGCAGCCCTTCTGTCCCTGTGGACTCTACTATCTGAAGCCAGAGACTTCTTTTCTCTAATGCAGAAGGTGTATCTGCCCAGATCTGGCTATTCACATAAACCCAAAGAGGCTCCAAAGCCCCTTGTCCTTCATCAAGAGAAATGGAGTGGCAGCAAACCATATCTGCTAGCCGGGGAAGGGAGAAGGGAGACTAGGAAGGAAGCTGAGTTCAAGGAGTGAGCAAGATAAAGGCCAAGAAGTCACCACTGTAGGCTGTGCATTTGGCATTGAGGACTTGCCATTTACAAACTACCAAAGCACATGGTGCACAGCTAAGGCAGGAGGTAGGCAGCCAGCTCAGAGAACAACCAGCTGGCTCTGCTGACTCAGAGCTACATGAGCACTTCTATTCATACACCTCTTTCTTTCCCACTCTCCCCACCTCTCCACACTCCAGCAAGCCACCTCTGATTTCCACTTCTTTGCCTGGTGACGCTATCGTGATGGTGGTGGTGGTGGTGGTGGTGGTGGTGGTGGTGTTTTAATCTTAGTCTAGTTGTTTTCCTGGACATTGCTGCTTGAATCCTGAGAAACTTCCTGATGTCAGAGGTGACCACACAGATTTTACATGGCATACAAGGTCATGAGTTTCAGTAATCTCAGGAAGCACAGAAGCCAAGAATGGTAGTATATGCCTGTAATCTCAGGATTTTGGAAGCTGAGACAGGAGAATTACAAATTCAAGACCACCCTGAAATACAAAGTGAGTTTAAAGCTAGTCTTGATTTACATAGCAAGTCCTTGTTTTAAAAGGGGCGGGTAGGGATTTAACTCAGCAGCACAAGCGCCTGCCTTGCAAGCACACAGTCGTGAGTTCAATCTGCCCCCGGTACCAAAAAAAAAAAAAAAAACAACTAAACCAAGAAGCATAGAGCCAAAAACTAACTGAATATATAGGCTTGTGGGTCCAGTGATAAATACTTTTATCGTAACTGAGGGGGCTTACTTCTCCCTCACCTCTGGCACTTTCCTAGTATTCTCAATACAAGGACAGAGAGCAGACCTAGGTGCATCCCCCTCCTGAGTACACATGTATGTGCACAAAGGCACTGGAGCACACCCACTCTGTGACAAAACTAGGAAGGAGACTTGCCCACTCCCCTTTGGCAGAGACAGGTAAGACTCATCTCAGCTATCGGCAAGCCCTGCCAGGGAACACCAGAGTCCCTGAGTGTGTCTCCCCCTCATTCCCACCTTCTTTTCACATCATTTTAGGATTATGGATGTGCACTACCACACCTAGCTTTTTTTTCTTTTTTATCAGTACCTAGATTGAACTCATGACTGCCTGCTTGCAAGGTAGGCGCTTATGCCGCTGAACTAAATCCCCAGCCCTACACCCAGAATTCTTGACATCATTTTGTACCAAGTATACCTTTCACACTTCTAAGGCTAGCTAAGTCCTTATAGACATTGTCCCTCTTAAAAATCAATGTTGACTGAGCATGATGGCACACACACCTGTAGTTCCTACACTTGGGAGACTGAAGTAGAACAACTGCTGTGAGTTCAAGGCCAGCCTGAATTGCATAGTGAAACCCTGTCTCAAAAAGACACACACATACACACATACAAAAAAAAAAAAAAAAAAGAATATTAAACTGACCATAATGGCACATGCTATAGTCCCTTAAGGCAGGCGAGTCACTTGAGTTCAGGAGTACAGGACTAGCCTGGACAATATATTAAGACCTCATCTGAGAAACAAACAAAACTAGCAAAAAATGAATATTAAAACTGTGTGTAAGCCAGGTGTTATGGCACACACCTGTAATCCCAGCTCTCAGGAGGCTGAGGCAGGAGGATTTCCATGAGTTTGAGGCCAGCCTGGAATATAGGGTGAGACTTTGTCTCAAAAATAAATAAACAAAACTGAGTGTTTTGGTGCACACATGGAATACTGAGGCAGAAGGATTGCAAGTTCAAGCCCAGCTCAGGCAACTTAGCAAGACACTGTCTCAAGGTAAAAGTTAAAGGGATAGGGGTATAGCTTACTACAGACACTAAGGTCAATCCTCAGTACTACCCCTCCCCCCGCTAAAAGAAAAAATTCTGGAGGGCTAGGATTATGGCTCAGTGACACAGCACCCACCTGGCAAGTGGGAGGTCCTGAGTTCAATTTTCAGTACCAGAAAAAGAAAAAATCTGGAAAAGCCTAGAGAGAGAAGCACAGAAGTCAGAAGGATTCTACCATCTGAGTAGCAACTTACAGTCAGTCCGCTCTTAGGTATCTTCTGCTCACCTCAGCTCTGCTTGAGTCTTGGGCAGGCCAGAACCTGCCTCAAACACAGGGATAGAGTTTGAACTCAAACTCAATGGAACTGACCTGGATCCTCCAGGCTTCATCCTGTACTACCACACTTTACTCCTTTGGAACTAGGCTACTTACTCATCATGTTTAAACTTGAATTTCTATGATAATGGTGTAATCTATTGCAAGAGTCAAACTTTTGAAGGTAGGCGTTGTGGCGCACACCTTTAGTCCCAGCCCTCTGTGATGCTGAGTCAGCACTATCACAAGTTCAAACCCAGACTGGGCAACTTAGTGACTTAACAAGATTGTCTCTCAAAGTAATAATTAAAAAATGGCTGGGTATGTAGCCCAATGCAAAGGTCCTGCTTTCAATTCCGGGTACCACCATCATCAAGAAACAAAAAGAGAGAG